CCCCCCCCCACACACACACCCTTCTTTCTCAGTCCGCTCCTATATCTCCTGATTCCCCTACTGTATACTCCTCTTTCCTTCAATTTCCCCCTCTCCACGGGGCTCTCGTGTCCCAGAAGTTAAGGTGTTGGCCTCTCTGCCTCTCATTCAAAGGTCCCGGATAGCAACAGAAAATCTTTTTTTTTCTCTAAAAATGTCTCCTTTCACCTCCTTTCCTGCTCTCTTGCAATGTTCTGTCGTCTGCTTTCGTCTCCACTTTCTGCCCCCACCCCCTCTTTTCCTTTGCCCCCTCTAGGCTTCTGACCCTTTTCTGCAGCCTTTCTACTGCTATTCCTTGGCTCCTTCTTACTGCTGTCTTTCAGCCACATCCCGGATCTTCTGGTTGGAAAGATCTACTCCTAGCCTTCTCGGACAAGGGCGAAAAGTCTCGGAGGTCCCGTGTGCAAGTTGCGCACGTTAAAGATCCCTTGGCGATACGAGTAGGCTTCGGCCGCCACCCGGGCAAAATTCAAAATTTCCTACCGACTGAAAAAGTTTAATGTGTCCCGCAGGCTATGACCTAATGCAGTTGCGAGCGCCGTAAAACACTTACCAGAAAATACGTCTCCCCTCCTTTCTTCCCGTCCCCTCTTTCCTCTCCCTGTCTTCCCCTCTCTCATTGCCCCTCCTCTCTTACTTCACCTTTCCCCCCTCCCCTTACTGTCTCTCTTCTCCTCTCTTCCCATTTCCCTCTCTCTGCCCTCCTTTCTTCCCTTCCCCTATTTCCTCTACCTTCTCCTCTCTTCCCTTCCCGTCTCTCCCCTCCCCCTTTCCCTCTCTCCCCACTCCTCTCTTCTCTTCCCCTCTCCCTTTTCCCTCTTTCCTGTCCCTCTACCTCTGAGTGTATTCCTCATTTGCTATCTCCAAAACACCCTGTCAACCATACAACAACGGCGTCTGTGGTGTAGCAGTTAGGCACTTCCCTGCTGCACACAGGAGACCCGAGTTGGATTCCTGAATGGGGAGAATTGTTATCAAGTATCTCTGCCTTTCTGCTTGGATGTTGTTTCTTGCTCACATCGGGTTGGCTCTGACAGAAAAGGTTGGACGTTCGCATTCTAAATGACCCTTGTTGTGTTGAAGGGGGCGTAAGAACACCTACATATTTTTTAGATAATATATAATATTAATACATTTAAAACAAAAACAAAAAACAAACCCGGAAAAAACACAAAACAATGGCGTTTCCAACATCATTATCTTTTATTTCACAAAGTTGTGACTTGGGCTGCTTCCCCATGACATAATATCCAATATATTTGTGACAACATGGTGGAAGCAAGCGCTCGTTGGGCAAATAGGGAGTTATCGGTTTTTTTCTTGAAGCTTGTTCTATCTTACTCTTGGTGAGGAAAATAAACCCAACCGTTTATCTTGAATAGAAGTCGAGATATTTGGGATTGAAGGAGGCAGGGGGCCCCTGGTGTCAGAAGCAAAATTAGCGAGAAAACTGATACCACAGTTTGGTGACTTCTAAAGCTTGAATGTCCTTGGAAACTGTAAAAAGTTTAGTTGTTCCCGTATGCGATCTGGACATTGGGGATTGCCTTGTTAGTGAGACAACTTCCTGGACCTTCGGCATATTGTGGTAGGGTAGCCAGTTCCTTTCCACGCCGCCTTTACTTCTCCAACTCGAAGTCAGGTGCCCATTACTGCCGGGTGGGCAGGAGGGGGCGAAAAAAATCCATGTCCAAACCGAGGCTCGAACCAAGACTTTCTGCTTCGGAGATGAGCCCACTAACCCCTCCGCCACCGCATTTTTTGTGCCTTTCATTAACGTTTTGCATTAAAATTGCAAAAAAAAAAAAAAGAATTTTAAAAAGGACATAACAGGTGTTGAGCCAAAATAAAAATCCATAAAAATTGCCCAAACCGCAGAAAACCTGATTTTTTTAAAGATTTCGTTATTTTGGCGCCCGCCTGATTTCACCACAATGCCACACATATTTAAGATGAGTCCTGATGGTTTGGTCCACTAGGTGTACATAATATTTCAGTATTTGAGTTTTTTGGTACCATTGAAAAGAGGACAAAATTCCCATTCATCTGACACCAATTTCAAATAAATATGCTGATATATTTACGAAATGAATGGCAGTTCAATATTGGATGCTCCACTAATGTCCCAGTAAAAATACTGATATATTTGCAATCAAACATTTGATAAATATTTTTACAGCAACAGACACATTCTCTAAAATGCCAGAATTACATTCAAAAGCATCATTTCAAGATTTCAAAAATTGATTCTTGGACAAATAAGTCATTAAAAGTAAGAAAGCAAAAAAAACCAACAACCCAACATTTTATTTTCATAAACAACAAGTGGTTTTGGCCATTTCTGCTGTTCAGCTTGATGCACCTTGTGGACCGAACCACGGAAACGAGTCACATTTGTTCATTTGTCACTGACAGAACCTAACATTTCTGTCGTCATTTTTAAAAGTACTGTACAGTATATGCATTTTAAAACAATTTTACAGGAGAGCCAATATACTGAATGTCATTACCAAGAAAATGAATTCTTTGTAAACACCCCAAAGTCAACATTTTAAAGAATACAATTTTGATAACACAATAGCTTCCTTATTATCTTCAAAACAATTGTTGTTTCCTTGATAACAACATTCAGTTTTCTGAATCTCCAGTAAAATTGTAAAAACTGCATATATTTACTCATATTGCACTTTTAGAAATGATGGCAGATTTGTTCATTTCTCACCGACAGAGCCAAATTCTCTACTCGTGTCCTTTGTTGTCATGGTGGAAGAAATGAGAAACATTTGAGGCGTCCACTTTTTGAGAAGTGCTCAAGTGCATACTGTACATTGTCACTGTCTTTCAACATTGTCGTAAAGGTCAAAATTAAGGAAAATGAATAT